GGCACCTCTCCTGATCTCCAGGACCTTTCCAAGATGATGGAGAGTGGCCTAGCGATAACATCCGCCAGCTCCCTCAGCACTCGTGGGTGCATCCCGTCAGGGCCCATGGATTTATGGATGTCAAGTTTGGACAAAAGATCTCTAACCTGATCCTCCTCATCCAAGGGAGAGTCTTCCTTTCTCCAGCCTTCTTCTCTTGGCCCCAGGGTCTGGAATTCCTGAGGGCTGGCCTTAGCAGTGAAGACGGAAGCAAAGGCAGCATTCAATAACTCTGCCTTCTCTAGATCATTTCTGACCAGGGCACCTGCCCCATTCAGCAGCGGGCCCACATTTTCCCTAGTCTTCCTTTTGCTATTGACGTGTTTGAAGAAGGCCTTCTTGTTGTCCTTGACATCTCTTGCCAGATTTAATTCCAACTGGGCCTTAGCCTTCCTTGTCGCATCCCTGCACGCTCTGACAACGTCCGTGTATTCCTCCCAAGAATGTTCTATTTTCTCCTATTGTGTTTTGGTAGTAGTTCCATGCAGAACGTGCTTAGCTTAATTAGCAGAATTCAGTGAACAGAAAATTTTGTCTTCTCATTTCCACATTCATATCAGTTAACTTTTTAAGATTTATTGTCAGCAGTAGAAGTTGTATCTTTCCTCTTAAGCCATCTTTCTGGAAGAATTGAAAACCATCCTTGCTTTTGCAAAATAATTTTTAATTTTTTTTGAAATCTGAAAGATTCGTAGTAACATGAAAGAATATCTGTTTGGTAGCTGAAAAACCCTATGTTCTTTTCCTCCCTTAACAGGATAGAATATATCTGAAATGAAACCAAGGGAGCTGATGACTGTGAGTATGAATATCCTGGACTTGGATCCTCACCATGCTTGGTGACAACCAAGTTTTTTCCTATACTCACACTAAATGCAGAAAGTATAGCTTGTGATAATGATCATTCTGGTGAAACAGTGCTAACTTTTACAGTAACTAAGTGAGACAGATAGCCAGCAAAGTGACACATCTATTTAAAAAACCAGTTCCTTCCCCTGCCTTTCAACCCAGGTGGCAGTTAGCTGCAGGCTATTGGAGTACCCCAGATTTAAATCGGAGTAACTCCAATTGACATCTGAAGCACAATTTTAAATGCCATTTCAGGATACCTCATAACAACTTATCCATGAAAGACCTTGA